AAGCATGTGAGGGAATATTCAGAGTTATGTGTCTCCCAGCAGCTGTAACTCGGCCCTCCTGTGCATATGGAACGTTTTGCTGTTCTTTATGGTAATCACTCTCCTACCTTCGTGTTTATATATGGTGCGTGACAGTTACAGTGGCTGTGGGAACCATAACTTTACGTTCTGTGACTTTTCTGTGAGTAAAACCAGCCATAATGTTGAATTAATGTCCTTCTACACATTGAGTTTTCATGTTGTTGTAAGTGGAAGACTTATCACATATTTGAATAAAAGCTCTGGGTTCATTTCTTACAGCACATAAATGATAGTGGTTATGTGGGCTAATTTTGTCATTTCATTAACATCATCTTTAAGCACAGTCAGGCCCACTTGGGAGAAGGTAGATGGTGTGCTGGTCTTGGGGGGCATGACATGGTTTGAGCACCTCTGTGTCCGCCCCTCCACTTGGAGACGGAAGACACAGGACTGCCATAGTCTTCTGCTGATAACAATTTAAAGAGAAATTCTCATCCTAGCACCAGTAGTTTTGTGGAATTATCTTCAAACGGGTTGGTTATATGGAGTACCAATTGATTTAATGAAACTGGAGACCACAGTGGGGGATTTTCAGGCCACAGAGCATCATATAGCATTGGCTGCTCTTGGCTCTGCCCATGAAGGCTTAGTTACTGGTATTGTAAATCTGGCAGATACATTCATTGAATTTCTGGGAAATGACAGTGTAGAGTATAAAAGACATGCAAGTAATCTTTTGGGAGAGTTCAGTAAGGTTCTGATTGTTCTCATAAAGTGGTCTTCAGACAGTGCTGCCCAACCCACCAAGAATGGAGAGAGGGATCGTTTGGCAAAGGACCCTTTGCTATTCTCTTGTCTTCTGTCAGTCCAAGCTGAGCCCCACATGGAGAGTCAGGGCTCTTTTCCTGCCTTGCGGTGGTGGTACTTTCAGGACCAGGCGGATTAGTGGCTGAAAAGTCAGGGCCCTAGAAATAGATTGGCCTGTCTAAAATGACCCTGGATCCTATGTGAGTTATTCTGAATTGAACAAAATGTATTCACAGTCTGGAAGGCTGCATGGATTCATGTAGCTGTAATCAAATAAGGCCACACTCAAGAAACTAATCAGGCTTGGTGCTCATAGCCCAGTGGTTACTGTGCCAGCCACGTACACCAAGGCTGGCGGGTTCAAACCTGGCCTGGGCCTGCTAAACAACAATGACAACTGCTACAAAAAGAATTCCTTAAACCTAGGAGTCTGAAGTTGCTGTGAGCTGTGATGCCATGACACTCTACCCAGGCAATATAGTGAGACTGTCTCAAAAAAAGAAAAAAAAAAAAGAAACTTGAATTAGATACTTAAAAATATGCATTATTTTGCAAAAATCTACTAAGTGCTTAATAATTTCAGAAAATGTAAAGTATTAATTTTACAGAACCTTTTAATGACTCTGATTTGTCTGCTTTTTATTAGAAAGCATTTGCCTATTTGGTTGTAGCACAGAGGTCCACGGTTTCTGCTGATCTTTTAAATGGGCATCAGTTATTTGTGACCTTCAAGTCGTCTTGATTTGGGTTACGTGGGAGAATGTAGCTTCAGAGTAATAAATGGTTGAAAAACAAGAATGCACTTTTCAAGCATTTTACCAAAGGCACGGGTATTCTGCATTTTTTCGTATTTTAATTGGATCTTTGTTACCATCAAACAATGACTTATAAAATATTTTCTGCTGGGAACTCGATCAAGTCCAAGGCAAGTCAAGTCCAAGTTCCTTAGGTGCCTTGGTGACATCAACTCGGTGAGGCTGAAATGCTAATTTGAGTGTGATGTCATGATTCTCAAGTCAGTGAGCCTTCCATTGTATTTCTCCAATTAGCAGAGCTGTGACCGCTGCGTATTCCTCAGATACTTCTGATGTATCATCCTGCTTGTCACCGACCTTTGCTAACTGGGGAAAATGTTCATCTGATGTTTCCTTTTGAAGAAGTGTTTGAAAAAGACAGTGTTTTTCAAAATGCTTGGAATATTTTGCCACATATCATACATAGACTTAGTGTTTCCTTGCAAAGAAATATTCAAGTCTTTTTGATTTGACATGCTATCACACAGAAATGCTGCATTCCTACAGAAATTTTTCAATAATTCACGTTGGTGATTCTGTTACTCATGAAATTTGACGGTCTGGTCTCTTGGATGAAATTTTGGTTGGCACTCATTCCTGTGATAGCCAAGGCGCTTTGGAATGATATTGTGAATCCACACTGCATGCCTCGTAATTCAGCTATAGCGTGTTGTGAAACTGATGTCACCTTGCATTTTAACAAATACGGTTAAATACTTAGAACTTGTTGCAAAGTGTCCCTTGAAATAGCTTTATGGCAAAGGTTTTGCCTCTGCAACACACAATGAAAAGAAATGAGAACATCTGGATCTGTTAATACAATACTTTTTAAAATCTGTGCAATAAAGCCTTTGTTTTGGTCATGGACAGTGCACTGTGTGTATGTGGACTCTCTAAGTCAACCAAATTCAGTTCATCTTCACAATATTTACCCTGAAAGTTGTTGAAGATAATCTATTCACCATGTTATGTTTCCAAGGGTGCCCAAAGTCGGTGGCTCTTTGTAGGCAAGAAAATCTGTCATGACTGGAAGTATCAGTGTTTCATCCACAGCGATTGAATAATATATATTTTCCTTTTGAAGTATTGTGTGAAGTTCTGAAAGCTGCAGTTCAGTTACGGTTTTTCTTGAAAGAAGCAGTTATTTTACTCTGAAACATTATTGGAGTCTAAGCATCCCCCAGCTTGGACAGTACATTTATTTCACATTTTCTAAATCATTGAATGGCCGTCCTCCCTCCCCCGAAGTGTATAAGCTACTCTGTAAATTGCTTCAGTAACTTTATTTCCAGGTATTATTGCTGCTTGAAAGAATCATCTTTGTTTTTTATCATTTAATTTCTGCCCTGCAACCTTTCATGCCGCTCCCTCTAATTTAAAATATTTGTGGTCCTTCTAAGTGTTATTATGCTGATGAACATTGAATTTCTTTAATGTTGACATTGTGGTATCATAAAGCAACAAATTGTGTGTAGTGGAAATAAGGTTATGTTGCAATTCTCAATCCCCATTTAAAAAAAATCTGTCCTTTTTCCTTCAGAATTTTCTTGGTCTTTTTTGATGTGATGGGTTGTTAAGTGGACAGAATTAAAAATAACATTAACTGTGCAACTATTCACACATTCCACCTCAAACACAGTGCACTGTTGTCAAAGCTGATAACAGGCTGGCGTACTCAACCCCCATAAACTCTTTCCAACAGCCTCCTGCGGTCGTGGCGCCAGTCAGGTGGGGGGAGTTAGAACTAAATCATGAGCACAACAGCTGTCAAGTGAGATGTCATGGTTCACCAATGTCCTCATTTTGCCAGTCAACCTGGGAAGATTATTTTGTCGAAACTTATTTAAAATACCAAAGAATAAAATATGTTAATTAAAAAATAAAACTATAAGACAAAATAATAAAAATGAAAGGGTTTGCTTTGTAAAATTTAGAACCAGTTGAAAGGCTGCACTTAAGGGCCTAGGTGGCCGCAGGTTCCCCACCCTTGGTCTGGGGATGTTAGACCTGGTGCCGATGGGGAGATTGGCAGGTGTGCCAGCTACAGAGAGGAAGAACTAAGAACAGCACTTCTGTTCTTCCCAGCGGGGCCGCTGCGAGGCTGCAGGCTTCTTGGGTGCAGGGTTCATTTCTGCCCATCACAGCCTTTCTTGATGTCACTGCTTGTAGGGGAAGTGGGCCCGAGAGCCCACTGTTCGAAGTTACTCACTTTCCTCTTGGATGCTGAAAAACTTACTCTCCTTCTCTGGAACTGATCTTGGATTTCTTCCATCTCCATTTGAGGGAGTGCATATGTGTCTTGGAAGGTAGCCAGCCACCCAGCAGGATCTCCGAGCTGTGCCCAAGACCTCTCTGATGGACACTGTGTATAGAAAGGACCCTGCCATCAGTGTCCCTGGTCCCACCTCCACCCACAGTGGCTCTGTTATCTGAACAATCTCTGCAGACCTGCTGTCTGTCTCCAAGCTGGCCCATGGCCTTGGAGTTACTCAGCCTTCTTTGGAGGGCAGAATCCTATTTTTTTTCTTTTTTTACAAAAGAAGTCAGCTCTGCCTAATATGCTAGACAAACAGAATCATCCCCAAATTGCTGGGAGGGTATTTGCTTGGGTCCAATGCCCCATCTGCCTTTCAATCAAGGCAGCTTTCCTCAACACTCGGCCCAGAAATCTCGTGAGTCCTGGAGTGCATCTAGGCTCCTCAGTCTGTAGGTGTAAAACCTGCACACCTGAGAAGGATCAGACCCCAGACTCACTGCTGAATGATGCAAGTTTCGTTGCCTTGTGGAATCATTTCTTGGGCATGGGAGGCATGTTCAAACTAGGATACGGAGATGCCTCCCACTCACAGGCCTCTTGTGTAGAACTTGCCGTTTCCCAGTTTTATGTTAGTGATTGTGCAGTTACTAGACCCATTGAGGTGTGGTTTGAGGAAAGTATTTCAGGTCATGTTTGGAATGTTTCCCACCTTGCTGACATTGGCAGTTCCCTGGGTCCCAGCCTCCCATTTCCCTTTGGAGGCTGGGGGCCAGGCAGGCCGCCTGGGAGGGACCTGGGAGGACAGCTCTGCAGCTCCACTTCCCACACTAGACCCAAAGCTGGCTGCATTCGCAGCCTGTGGATGAACTAGGGGTGCCGAAGTGGCCCAGCAGGTACATGAATCACCCTTATCCACGCTGTGATCAGTGACTTAGCTGCTGCCAGACTGATGCCTCTAAGGCCCTTTCTCTGCCAGTGCTTATCACACCAAGAAGGCAGCCGCACACCTGAAACCGGCTGTGCAAAAATCAGCTTTCCAAATGGAAAGACCTGTTTGAAGATGTCTTCCTGGGTTGGTACTGATTTGCTTTTTTAAAGCACATTTTTCTTCTTTCTTTCAGAAGCTATGTGGCAGTGCTGACCTGAACGCCTCCATGACATCTCAGCATTTTGAAGAACAATCAGTGAGTGGCATTCCTTAAAAAACAAATGCTAAAGTAGATATTGTAAATCTGTCTCATTGTGTGTGGGTTTGTATTCTATTTGCCTCTTTTATTTCTAGAGAATGCAGAATGGTATCCCTGGACAAAAATAGGCCTTGCAAGTTTGAGCTGGAGGAGATGAATTCAGTTTCTATTGATTTGTCAAACATGGGACAGGTTCTTCTAAAAATACAGAGCAGCTATGAAATTCAGTGAGATAGTAAAGGAGATAAAACCGTCTTAAAGTGCTTTGAAACTTTCAAAAGAGGGCTGTCAAGAGTGGCTTAGCCGCAAGATCAATTAATTGAATGTCCAATAAGTGAATGATAAATGATTTTTATCTGTCCTTTAATGTTGAGGACAGGAAAAGTTTGAGCTGGCTCAAAACTTTAATTGGACTCGCATAGTAAATATTTGAAAATAGACTTGCATTTGCCATTATGGCCCATGGGAGTTGATGCATTTCTGTAGATAGAAGTGACTGAGCCAGGCAGGAGTAGGAGCCGTGTAATACAAGACAACCGTAGGAGGAAAGCCAGGAGAGGACTGGGTGGAGACAGCGTCCCCTGCAGACCTAGGCGAGGAGCTTGTGTTTGGATGGACATGCAGGTTCAGGAGGGGATCCACAGAGTGTGGACATCGGAACCATCATTACGCATGCAGGAGGTCTCCCAGACTTGATGGGGCTTGGTGGGAAGGGTGGAGGAGCAGAGGGAGCCAGTTTACATGGGGGCTAAGGAGCTGCACTGCTTCCTGCTCTGTGCTCTCAATGCCCTACCATAAGTTTTATAATAAATCTTGCAGTTCATGAGGGAGTTTCACAGGCTCGTATGCCACTTATCTAAGTATTTCAAGGACATCCTCTCATTTCTCTGCAGATTGTATAATTCTTGGGAAGTTAATCTTGCAAAGATATAATCACAGCTGCTTCTGAGTTCTGATAAAATCCCACCAGGGAGAATTATAAAGGACTTGGTAATAAGGCATTGTAACCAAGTCATCCCAGTGAGTGGGGATTGAGGTGACCAGTGACTGTAATAGTGACTTGGCTTTCTTCCCCTCTGAAATTGTCTGTGGAATTCTCTTGCATGGGCCCAAGACCCACTGGCTTAACCACCTTCTCCATCTGTGCAGACTCCTGGGGAAGGGGGTGATGGTTTGAGTCGCCTCCCCAGCTCTTTTGCCTACCTGCTCACCATACACCTGAAGGAAGGCCGGAACCTGGTGGTGCGAGATCGCTGTGGTAAGGCTTCGCTGTGTTAATGCTGTGTGAGCTTGAAAACTTCTGTCTCTCTACCCTGTGTCAATGCTGTCCGTCAGCCTGTCCCATCACGGTATGGTTCAGGACAGACCGGAGCTCCAGCCTAAACCTCTCCAGGTCTCAGCCATTTGCACTAAATTATTTAAACACATTGAACCTTACTATCCTTTTGCATTACTAAATTAAATTGTAACAATACTGATAATCACATTAAGTTGTTTTAGAATAAATGGGGTAAGTCTGATAGGTTTATGCCTGGCACACAGCAACTGCTCACGAAAAGGTTCTCCGGATCCTACTGCTTTAATTATCCAAGAGAAAGAGGGGATGCATCCTCAGCAGAAGGTCCTCAAACATCCAAATCGATGGAAATAGTCCTTTCAACCAAGTCCCTTCTGTTCTGAGATCCTACTGGACTCTCCATAGCTATTATTGGTCTTTACCTTTTATGTGTCTCTCTATACATTTCCATAAATATATACTGATATATGACTGTGCTTTCTCCTATAAATATATTTTCTGTTGTCTAATATTGCTAATACTACATACTGTAACATTTTATGTTAATGTATCTGTTTTGCTGAGAACTATTTATTTCACGTATTGTGTATGTCTCTGTGCACAGTTAAGGGTGTACCTTAAATAAAAATATCATATGTTGGGTGGTGCCTGTGGTTCACAGGAGTAAGGCACTGGCCCCATATGCTGGAGGTGGTGGGTTCAAACCCAGCCTTGGCCAAAAACTGCAAAAAAATAAAAAATAAAATATATATATATATATATATGTTTAAGGGCGGATGGGGAGCCTGACCAAGTGACCTCAAATCTTGGCGTCTCCATTCAGTGCTATTTGATTTAAGAATATTCCTTGATACCTGGATGTGATGTTAACCTACTTTGTGGACTATGAGAAAGATGGTAGGCATTGATTATAAAGCATTTAGTCTGCAATTGAGTTTTTCCTTCTATATTTTTATAATTCTTTTTAAATTTTCATCATTAATGGTTTTTAAAAATACACACTGAAGCATTTTTCTCACAGTTTGTCACTTATCTTTAATGGTACGACCTCTTCTGTCCTTGAGAGGGTTTTCATTTCTCTGCAGGCAGATATGTGCGTTTTCTTCTTTTTACGTCTGTGTGGTTTAGTTGTTGAGGCTTTTTCAGGTTAAGGAGTTCCTGTCTTCAGGTCGCGGCCAGTTTCTCTGGTTGCTGCTTCTCTGCTCTGTGTGAGGACGTTTCTGCCTTTTGAGTCTCCATGTGTCATCTCCGGCTGTCAGCTTTTCTTTTTTCCTTCTCATTCTTCCTTCACTTTCCCTTCCAGGAAGAACTCCTCAGCTCCATCCTCCAGTGTGCTCACTTTCTTGTCAATTGTTAACGTTATGCTGTTCCGTTTATTGCATTGGCATTTTTTTCATTTTTATTATAGCGTGTTTTTGTGTTATGAATGAGATGATGCCGTCTCTCTTGAGAATATGAAGTATGCATTTAAAATCTCCCATCTGGAGTGTGTGTACGTGCTCTCTCAGGGATAAGGGCACTGTAGCTGCCTCTCCTGCAGGACAGGAGTTTCTTTTGCGTGTTCGATTCTCTGGAGAGCTGTGTTCATCCTTTGTTTATGTGTTTATGTGTTTCTGTTTGTGGCTACTATTTTTGTTGCTGTGACCTGCCCTCGGTGATGGCGAGGAGGACTGGGACATGCAGCAGGACAGGGTGAGCCAGTAGTTCAGGCTGGATTCTCCCCATTGGTGCCGGTTGTCACCAGCGCCCTGAAAGCCTCCCTCTCAGGGTTCCTGCCTGTCCCTAAGTGCGTTTGCTATTGCTCGGCCTCTGGGGGTGAGACAGTGCTGGCCCTTCCAGCTTTCTGTGGGTGCAGCTCCAGCCAGTCACCCCAAGAGCTGCTGCTTCATCTGTCGCCTCTGAGTGTGGCTGGCTCCCCTGCCACACACCCTTCCACCTCGCCACCCGCCACTTAGAAACCTTTTTGCTGTGACTCTCTACAGGTCATAGTCTGGGCTATAGATTCTCTTATTAATTTGATCTGAACTGACTTCCATCTTTCAGGGCTGTATGAAGTGTGTATATATATATATATATATATATATATATAATTTCTGAATATTATGGGGGTACACACATTTTGGTGACATCGTTTGCTTTTGTGCATTTTAAGTCAAAGCTGAGAATGCCCAGAAAGTGTGCGTTGTGCGGTTAGGTGTGAGTGTCCCCGTCCTTCCCTGCTGCTCCCAGCTATCTGAATTTCACTGAGTTTGGCTTCCATATGAGAACATAGGGGTTGGTCATCACTTAGCTCCAATTCAGTGTTGAATACATCTGATGTTTTTCCATCTTGAGATACTTCACTTAGGAAAATGGTCTCTACTCCATCTGGGTTATTCAAAAATATACTAGATCACTGTCTTTTTTTTTTTTTTTTCTCTTCTCCTTAAGCAGGACCTTGATCCCCTTCCCCTCCCTTCTCTCATGTTCTCTCAGATATACCATTTTTTAATTGTGAAAATATTTCATTTTCTACTTGTTGGTAAATAGTTTCTTAATCAAATCGGTTTTTTATCAATCAGTTGTGCCTTTCGTGTCTCTCTTCTTGTCATAAACACCCCATCCATAGTGATGGCTCGATCTCGTACATTATTTTTAATGACTCGGGGCAGACAGCACTTTGTGCTTGAAATAATACCTGGGGGACACAATGATAAACCCATGTGATGTTGGCCCCCACAAATCCCCAACTCCAAACCTGCACACTGTCCAATGGACGCTTCTGTCAAGTAATGATCATGATCAAGTCCTTTTTATGGGAGCCTACGATCAAGTTCATTTTTATGGGAGCCTATCTGGAGATCACAAGTGCTCCAGAGAGAGTGTCGTTAACTTTACTAGAAAGAAAATGTTCTTAATATGCATGTCCCTGTTTTAAATTTTTGGAATTTGCCCAGTGCTTTGTAACTTCTGCCGTGTACATGGGCTCCCGGCCTCTTCTATGGCTTGGCTATGCCTTTGCCAGTTCCCCCATCGTTTCTGGGAAGAGACCCCTCACGTCCTTTATTGATGAGAGTTATTAAGCTACACGACTGTTGGTGTATCATATTGATACAGTCACAGCAGATTCCTAGCAGACGGTCAGTGAGCTTGTCAGGCGGTGAAGTCCTTGCTCACATCAGAAGGTGAGTGAAGGAACAGGTTTGTTTCAAGACCAAAGGAAAGGCCACGATCTGCGCTCTTCCCCTAGCTGTTGTCTCAGCTGCCTCGGTTCCTCAGAGTTGAAACATCATGTGAGAACTCAGCTTTTATCTTAAGTACCCAGTGAAACCAACACGTATCATCCAAGTATAAAAACCTAATAGGAAGTCCACATTGGATTCAGCACCTGTTTCGTTTGAAACCAGTAAAGACTGTCCTTGACCGATTTATTTATTGGCAAGATTAATCCTTATCAATTAAGAAAACAGTGTACTCCCAACGGGTCTTTTTTTAAAATACCTTGTGGGGTAATGTGCCTCCCGGTACTGTGACAATGTTAATTCCAGCTTGATTGTCACAAGTTTTACACTAGTGATTAGGGCGTGATCAAGAGCCCGCTCAAGGCAAGGCAGCATTTGAGTGTCCACTGTGGATTGAAGCCAGGCTCCGACTGGAGAATGACTGAAGTATTTATTGTACATTTCAAAACAGGTAAAAGAGGCTATTTGGAGTATTCTTCACCCTGAAAGTAATTAATATTCTAATCACCCAGATTTGATCATTTAGTATACACATGTATCACAATATAACATGTGCCCTAGAAATGTGTGAAATTATTATATATTAATAAAAATATATAGGGCATAGTGTCCTACAGTAGAAAAGCCAATACGTGATAAGATGTGTTATTAGAGCTCTTAGTTACTAACTGTGATGAAATCGCCCGTGTCCCTGACTCCCAGCGTGAGCCCATTTCTGTGCTCTCTGTTAGCTCCTCCGTCCTCTTGGTTCTTAACTTGTGCCAGTTTGTCAATATCCTGTGCCCTCTCTCTGTGCTTCGTCTCTAACATAGAAATTTGTTTTATATCCCTGACCTCTGAACAGTGCAGGGGCTTAGGGTACTGACTCCTTGCATAGTCAAAGATCCACATGTAACTGTTGACTCCCCCAAACCTAACTGCTAATAGCTGACTGTTGACTGTAAGTCCTACTGATAACATAGACATTCCATGAACATGTATTTTGTATGTGATATGTGTCAGTATTATAGACTGTATTCGTACGACGCAGTAAGCTAGAGGAAAGAAAATGTTATTATAAAATTACTAGGGAAAAAAAAATATTTGCTCATCATGAAATGGAAAAGGATTGTCACAAAGGTCTTCATGTTCATGTTGACCAGTCTCTACTTTCGAACGTTGAGGGAGAGAACTAGTTTTGATGAGTCATTCTTTGCTAAGAAAAGGTTTAGCCTTTTCCTTAGATTGTTACGTAATCATTACTGTTTATAGAACTTTCTGTGTAAAACATGGATCAGTGAATTTTTTATGTACAGGGCAAGGTAATAAATAATTTAGGCTTTATGGGCTGTGACAACTCTTCAATCCTTTAGAATAGTGGGGAAACAGCCATAGATAATAAGTAAACAAATGGGCGTGTCTGTGTTCCATTAAAACTTTATTTACAAAAACAGGCAGTGGTCTGGATTTAACCAATAGGCCAAAGTTTGCTAAGTAAGCAAAGTTTGATCCTGAGAAGAATATAAATGGTTTGATTTTTTTTTTTTGAAGCAATGTCTTACTCTGTCACCTTGAGGTCGATTGCCTGTGGCATCATGGCTCACAGCAACATCAAACTCTCACGTTCAAGCAGTCTTCATGCCTGAACTTCCTGAATAGCTGGGACTACAGGGGTTTTTTGGGGTTCTCACTCATGCTCAGGCTGGTCTCAAACTCCTGAGCTCAAGTAGTCTATAATACCTCAGCCGTCCAGAGTGCTAG